TGTGAAGCTTGTATGTTTGGTAAACAACATAGACTGAGCTTCGAAAAACGTAATGAAAGACCCCAGAAAGTAGGTCAAGTGATACATGCTGATGTATGTGGTCCAATGCTCGTAACGCCTCTTGGAGGTGCCCGTTATTATGTGTTATTCGAAGATGATTTCTCCAAATACAGAGCAGTCTATTTTTTGAAGGAAAAGTCCGAAGTGAACTTCATTCAGGTGTAGAAAAGACAAACATCCCGATAAGTTACTGCGTAAATTCAAAGTATTTTATACACAAATTTCCCAATAGATGTTGAAATTTGCACTATTAACAAAGGTAGAAGGTTTTCCATTAGAAATTTTAAACTTTTCAGATTGTGAATGGTGAAAAAACCCAAAATGAATTTTGTTCAATATTTTTCAGAGATTGAATTGGTTTTAGATGCAGGTGCACTGATGCAGAATAGCCAATGACTCATCAAAAGTAATTCTTATGTGATTCCATATTAGGAATCACACGTTAAAAGGTAAGACCTCGTTAGTCCTTAGCTCGCACAACTTTCTCAACTCCTGAGAGTTGTCGTTCGTATGGGGGCGACAGCTGATTACCGGAAAAACATATTTCAAACAGACAGATTAAACAGACAGAAATTCATATTTATTTTCCTCAACTTATAGAAAATATCAACAAAATGTTTGCTTGAGGAGTTGAATTGTGAAAACCATGCAATTAAATTCTCTTTCAAATGCAAATTTCGAAAAATGTCAAACAAATCAGTAGAGTCCAAAAACTATACGTGTCTGTCGTTTGCTGTCGCAAATTCGACTGAAATCTGAAATATGTCTCTATATGAGATCATATAAGACCTATTGTACTGAATAATATTGATGTTACTATTATTTTCAGTGAGTACTACCATAAAATCGATTTCTACAAGCTGCTTTCATTTAACTTCTGATTGAGCTGAAATTTAGATTGGATGACAACGCAAGGTTAGCTAAGTGACGTCATTCTACATCTAATATGACGTACCATCAAGATGTCAGACTGATATGAGTATCTATGAAATGAAAAGGTCTGCTGAAAACAATAAGGAAAATAGCACGACGTCACTCTCAATTCGATATGGTGGACCGCAAAAAATAACGCATTAGTTTTTGATGCACCGTCATGATCTGGATATTGGATGAAACCGTTTTTCGAAAAGAGTAAAAACAATGACTTGACATTCCTCTGAATACAATATGGCAGATCAATAAACATGGAGAACCAGTTTTTCATGTTCCCCCATTATACTGGAATCGAAGACAAATGTTTGCTATAGATTATACGGAAAATAAATGGTGTCACTGTAAGTCTGACATGGCGAACTCTTCAAATACAATGTATCCTTTCAAATCACGCCCTGAAGAAATCACGTCGGCCGCCACTGATAGCCATAAACCAATTGTGATGTAGCTTAAAGCGCGCGAATGTTCGATGTTCGCTGCCGTTCTAGATGTGGAGAGAATAATGATACCGGCTTCGATAGAATTTCGAGGAATTTTCCAGCGCCTTCGATTGCCAAATATAAACGCGATCCACTCGCCTATCGAGACAGTCAAGTGGATGTGACAATGCGGTACGCGGAGCGATCTTATAAGGCGATATACATTTGAATACTTGTTGATATTTTAGTTGAAGTGTTTGTTGTATTCCAAGTGAAATGAAGTTATGTTTGGGTATTGTTCATTGTAGTCAATTACACTGGTCAACACTGTTTTTGTCACATGAACTTGGTGGTGTTTTTGTTTATGAGAGGGAGGATGCAAACGGCGGGTTGTCAGTTTCCAGACATGACAATTTTGCATGAGCGCGAACCACTGAGGCAAACGCAAGAAGTGTTGCCTACTTATGTAGAAACACCGAGAATACCGACAAATATCGCCATTGTTAACTTCGGTGAAGAGTCGAGAGAGCAGTATTTAAGCAGACAGGAATATGGACAGGACTTCCGACGCCAAGCCTCGTAATGCCTTCAGAGGAAAACCCTTAGAGGTCCCCGAGAGACAGACATGCGACGTCAGGTGTCGCGATGGCCTTGAGAGGAAACCCTTAGAGGTTTTCAGAAGACGGATGCACAGACAGGCGCGCCGTGTGTCTGCGAAGTGATTATAACTGGCGCCCCAATGGAAGAATTAGGGGGTGGAGGTAGGCCACGGGGTCTCCCTGATGTCAGCAGGGACATGGGGGTGGCTTCATGGCGAGGTCTTTCTAAAAATCCGAAATATCAACCATCACAGTACTCAGAGCAACTCTGTCACAACTAACCTACTGCTGTAAACAAACTGGAAATGAATATCGAAATCACGGGGATTTAGGTCTATGAGGCGAGCCACGGCAAAGTGAGTCATGGGAACGGCAGGACTATGATCCCGCAGGATACAGAGCCTTCCCCGTCACTTGGCCTGCCTTATATAGGGAGGCCGATTATAAATTTGAAGTGGATATGTTTAATCATTTATCCTATTATATTAAGTTAAATTAAGATCATATTCATTCAATACGCCTTTTTTATCGTACATAAAACACCTTCACAGTTGAGATTATTCTATTGAAGTGTACCTACAGTATTCAAATATAACAACAGTTGACGGCGGACAACAAACTTTTATTTTGAAATGTTTCATTCACAAGAGAAATGCAAATATTCGGATAAACATAAAGAAGCCTTTATCCTAATTTGGTACAGAATAATAAATGTGAATGTTCAAATATAACAGAAAACTTCAACCAACAGAAACATGCTGAAATTCCAAATAGATCAATTGATAAATCCATCGAAATCATTAGGGAATTTAAGAACTGGTCTATAACTCAAAAAAAGAAGTAGAAAATGGAAGAACTTTTTCATTGTTATTATTATGTCAATTGTGTCAATACTGTTTTTGAAACAGTAACATTTGAGGTTAAGCTTTTGGTCATTTTCGTGTTTGGAAAACCGCTTCTCAAGCGGTCTTTTCGAATCAATGACCATTGTCTATAAAAACAAAAATGACCTGTTAATTTCTTAAGAGGTAACATTCATTGTTGGAAAAGATGGGTTCGCTATCAAAATTTCTACTGATAGCATTTGAAATAACGAATGAACTTTACACAGCCCTAGGGGCAGGAGTTCTGGGCATGGTCGTTCTACTAAAACATGGTTTCCAAAATCATCAGTGCGTAAAAACCCTGTCGGTGGTTGCCTTCACGGCAGGATGCTGGGTTTACATTAATAGGGAACATGAAAGTCTCAAACCGTCCAAGAAGAAAGTAGTGTGTATTACTGGATGTGACTCGGGCTTAGGGTTTTCCTTAGCGCAGCATGCCGTGCAAATGGGGTTCACAGTGATTGCGGGATTCTTGAGTTTGGATTCTAAGGGGTGTAAGGAAATCAAGCAGTTATTCGGGAGTAATATCATCCAAATACAGTTAGACATAACAGATAGCAGTAGCGTGCAAGCTTCGGTTCAAACATTGGAACATTTTTTGGGCAGAAATCCAGGATATTGTAAGTATCATAATTTAATAATATCAATAATGTTATATAACTTAACTTTACATACAACACTAATCTCATTGATATTAGTGTTTTTGTTGAAACTACAGCCCACGAACAAAGCAATTGTGATCCAATAACAGAAGTGTTGTTTCGATTCACCATAGGTCTCTTCAGAGGTGCTAGGCTTTACTATTAATACATTGTTATACTCCACTGTCCTTAAAGGATGAGCCTTATTAAAACACCATTTACACCTCCCCTTATGAAGATGCCATCTGTGGGCACAACACAAGACTTATTCTTGTGAAAAACTTAGTAGAAATTTAAGAAATGATTTTGAATTTCAAATTGAACGCAAGGATTCACCAACTTTGGGTGAATTATTTAACTTTTTGAACAAAAGAATAACAACTTGGAAATCATCTGCTCAAGGGATAGAAATGAAACAGGAAATAGAACAGAAATCAAAATATTTGAATAGACAATCGTCGGTTACTTATTACCATTCAGTTACTGATATTCACATCATTCTCAGTTACTTGTATTCAAGGAGGTAAAGAGCTGAAGTGTACGTATATATTGTTTCAGGTCTTACGATTTATGAATGTATGAAATTTTCCTCAGCATTACTTTTTTCAAAAAAAAGATTTCATTCCTAAGGAAAGGCTTTGTTTCAATTGTTTCAGAAAATACTTGGTCTCTCAATGCACATCAAGGAATAGGTGTAGATACTGCTCAGGTAAACATTACACTCATTCACATGAGAATAGAGGTGTTGATTATTAAAAAAATTACTTATGTAGGTGGAAGTACTCATTCTCCTGAGTTGACTTCTCAGTCTAAAACTTATTCTCCAGTACCTCAACAATCGCACTCATTTTCTTCTAGTTCTCAAGATTCTATCTCCCAGTCTCAAAATCACTAAGATAATTCCCAACCATCTCACGCATTGACCTGCACTCATAAAGAAAATAATCAACATCATCTAGGAATCAAGTAGTATGATTATCTACAGGAACGGTTATTTCATTATCAGAAAATGGTAAAACAAACAAGCTTCATTTGTTACTAAATGAAGAAGTGGCAAAAATGTTAGAAGTGAAACCATTGAAAATTAATACGACAATTACAGGTATATCATAAAGCAGTAGTTACGAGTAAATTACCGAAATGGCAGGGATAGTTTTCAAGCCAAAGAGTTTAAATTGTATTATTTTGAAAAACATAACTTACGAACTTTCTCAAATGTGAATCGATACTTGTGGCAGCTGGAAGAGATTTCCTCAAATAAAATTTTGTTTTGTGAGGATACTATATTTGAGAATATTTTTGTCTCTATGACATAGCACAACTAAATAGGTGCATGGTAGGTTACCTCTCAAAAACAACATAGCAAATTCAAACTTGGGAGACTCTTTTGAAATGGTAATGCAAAAATGATTCGTTGCATTCTCAATATAAGAAGTGTTACTTCAATATATTTTTTAATTTGAATCAAATTACTTATCAAATATGGATAGTTCAGGAAGCTCATAGATTTTTAAATATGAAAATGTCTTGTTCTAACAAAACCTTATGTGTCAGAATATGTGACTGTATCTTTTAAAAGTTCTTTTTCATTAGTGGGAATTATTAAAGTGTGAATAAACATGTTTACCTGTAACATTATTATAATACTTTTTTCATTATTCTTGATATTTTTATTATGGGAGGAAAAGTATAGATTAATTATCTTCACTGTTTTCTTTTCTTTAGTAATCATTTTGCCATTCACTTGTAATTCACTCTTGATTTACTAGTCAATTCCTGTATTTTTATCAAAATTCACGATTCACCAATTTCACCAAAATTACTTGTGAGGATGGAATGAAATCGTACCTTTGAGATAACTGTAGCAATATATTTGATATTTATATTGAAATATGTATTTGTATTTGTGTACCTGACAAGTTGAATTTATATTGTTTCATTATAGTTATAATTGTTATCTAAATATGGAATAAAAGTTTATATAGTAAATTTTTCTTCAGACAATAATTCAAAACATCCTACATTTTTTGGATTTAGCTGAAATTTTCAAAATTCTCTGTTATTAAATTGAAATATTTGCAATTTTAACCATTGCTTTAATTTTTTTTGAATCTTGTAGTCCATGAAATGTTTCTGATTGTTATTTTTTTTAAAATGCATATTTAATTTTTTATTTCTTGATTTGCAGAATCGGTGATCCAATCATTACTCACATGAATTCTGACATGACTTCAAAGTATTAACCCATTAGTGCATATTGTTCGTTTTATCGAACATGCCTATTCACGTCGGCGAAGAGAACGTCTGCCCATATTTTCAATTATTCCCCGTGAAAAAGTTGTTAACACATACAGAATTAACAGTTGGTTCAGTCATATGAGTGGTGAGAAGTGTAAACGTGTTAGTTTTGCTTGTTTATATAGTAATGGATAAAGAATTGTATTCAACTCGCTGTAGTGGTTAAGTTATTATACAATATCCATACTATTTATGACAAATACATGACGAGTAACGTAAATTCTTTTACATGTACTTACATACCATTAACTAGTATCACAGATAACTCCCGTCTAATCTTTATTTTTCTTGAAATCAGTCTACATTCCATGTTCGTTTTATTGAACATGGTTAGTTATTGTACATCTGTATACCTTTGGCAAAGTTATTTCCGAATGTTGCAGCAGATAGACCAACGGTGGATAACGCATTTTCGACTTCAAAGAATAAAAAAGCAGCATGGACCAATGAAGTTCACATTTTTAACATAGAACAAGAGTGCAACAAAAAAAAGCCACCAGAAGAAGTATATAGCAGAGTTTCCCCATTTTCACCTGTTTTTTGATGAAGAAGTGCTGTCCAACATACAAAGGCAAACCAATCTTTATGGTCAGCAAAAGAATGTGGATTTAAGAGTAACAACGAGTGAGCTTCTTGTCATATTTGGAGGCATGTTACTTTCAGGGTATGGTAAATATCCAAACAAGCTTATGTACTTGTCAAGTAAAAATGATGTTCCAAAAATATTATCTGAAAGTATGAGTCTCAATAGGTTTGAGCTCATCCTGAGGCATTTACATCTTAATGACAATAGTCAAATCGAAACTGACAATAAATTATATAAGTTACAGCCACTAATCGACAAGCTCAGTCAAAACTTTAAGTATTATAGTGGCCTGGATGAATATATAAATATCGACGAAAGTATAATACCATAATATGGAAAACATTTTGCTAAGCAATATATCAAGGAAAAAACCTATTCGCTTTGGTTTCAAAAACTGGGCTTCGTGCCCTAATACTGGATACATGTTCAATTTTAACATATATACAGGAAAAAATAAAGACGCACAAAATGAACTTGCAGTTTTCAGTGTGGGAGGAAGTGTTGTGTTGGTTTGATAAAGTCAGCTGAAATACCACCAAAATGTGGCTACAAAATTTTCATGGATAACTACTTTACTTCCATCATCTGATTAACTTAGGATATTGTGCAATGGGTACTATGAGAGATAATAGATTACAATATTGCCCCACTCAGAAAGCAACAGAAATACATGTCTAAGAAAAAATGGGGTGAATATTAATTTTCAATCACTCCAGCACCGCTTGCCGATGTCAGGTTTGATAAAATCAACCATCTGCCACAGTATATTGAAAAGGAAAGAAGATGTGTTAACTGTGGAAAAAAAGCAAAATTCATATGTGTGAAATGTGAGTGTTTCGTGAAGTATCATACTCCGTGAAGATGGATATTATTTTTGTTGCATTCATTTACCTTATATGTGAGTATGACATTTGATAAATCGAACACTCTGTATTTATTAAATAGAAAAACTCATGCACTAATTGGTTAAGAAAAGAATTTGTAAATATGCTTGAGGTGAAAATGATTGAAAGACGAATTTATTCAAATAAACAAGAATCCAACAAAATGTGATTTGTCAAACCCAAAATATGGAATTTAAAAAAAGTATTTTCGAAAGGAAATCAAACTATTGTTGTTACTGAAGTAATTAACAAAATTCACACCTGCAGATGGATCTACTATGAGAGAGCTGAGAGTAATAGTAATTGGGTTAAATAAGGTGAAAAAAAAAATAAATTTTGAGTCCATTAAAAACACTCTCCAGTGTTCCAGTACGAACTATCAAGTTAAATTTTGAACTCAACATTTTTGAAAAAGATATTCGAAGTTTTTGGGCATGTCATACCAAATTATGCAAACAAATCTTTTGAGAAAGGAACATTCTTTATATAATATATTCGATAAAACAGAATTATTATGAATAATCAAGTTGCCTTGAAACTTTGTTGAAATACTATTTGTTAAATATTCTCAAGTATATCATGTCGAACGGTCGGTAGACAGGCGGTTCAACGTGGGTACTTTGTTCACTCACTCGAATTGACTGCCGTGTTGGCTGGTGGTTCAAGCCCTAGTCTGAACGATCGATTTTCACTTGCTATCGTTCAACCCGTGTTAGGAATCACACGTTAAAAGGTAAAACCTCGTTAATCCTTAGCTCGCACAAGTTTCGACTTCTGAGAGTTATTGTTCGTAGGGGTGCGACAGCTGGTTAACAGATAAAACTGTTTTTTTTTAACAGAAACGGTCATAAATTATTGTAACTGTCAACTACTGTTCGAATATTTTTCGAAATGCCATTTTCTCATCAAGAAAAATGTGATATGTTAGAATCCTACTTGGTTTGTCAGAAAAATAACGTAAGAACACTCCAACACCATAGCAATTCGATACCCGATCCTGAATTACCTAATTGGCTTTTTTTTTTCTGTGCTTCATCGTCGATACAGTAACAATGAAAAAGATTTTGAGAAGAGGAGAACTAAAAAACGTTTTCTAATATCTGAAAATACAAGATTACTGAACAAGTGGTTGCTGCCAATATAATGTAAATACAAACAGAAATAAAAAAAATGCACAGAGTTGATAGATCTTACAAATAAAGATGAAGAAA